TTGACCAGGATGGTCTCGATCTCTTGACCTCGTGATCCACCCGCCTCGGCCTCCCAAAGTGCTGGGATTACAGGCTTGAGCCACCGCGCCCGGCTATTTATTTAATTTTTTTAAGACGGGGTTTCACCATGTTGGTCAGGCTGGTCTTGAACTCCCAACCTCAGGTGATCCGCCTGCCTTGGCCTCCAAAGGGCTTGGATTACAGGTGTGTGCCACCACGCCTGGCTGGGGTGGACCCTTTGCTCATCGCACATGTGATTGCCTTGACCCTATCGCTGTTCTTAAGATGACCTCACTCATTACCTAACCTACACCCAATAAATACAGACGCTCCTGGACATTCGGGGCCTTGCCTGTCTGTGCTTATAGGTGGCGTGCCCCACCCCCACCCCCGAGCCCAGCTGCACTTTTTTTGTCCTTCTGTGTCCTGTCTCTTTATTTCTCAGATCCTGCACCTCAGCACAGCGATAGGGTACACCCCACAACCCTGTAGGGCTTGACCCTACACTTTTCAAAATGGAATCTAACTTTGTTGCCCAGGCTGGAGTGCAGTGGCACAATCTCAGCTCACTGCAACCTCCGCCTCCCAGGTTCAAGCAATTCTCCTGACTCAGCCTCCTGAGTAGCTAGGATGACAGTCGCCAACCACGGTGCCCAGGTAATTTTTGTATTTTTAATAGAGACGGGGTTTTGCTATGTTGGCCAGGCTAGTCTCAAACTCCTGACCTCTCAGGTGACCCGCCTGCCTCAGCCTCCCAAAGTGGTGGGATTACAGGCATGAGCCACCACACCCAGCCACCCAGCTAATTTTTAAATTTTTTATAGAGAACAGGGTTTTGCCGAGTTGCCCAAGCTGCCCAAGAACTACTGGGCTCAAGCAATCCTCCCACCTCAACCTCCCAAAATGCTGGAATTGCAGGCATGAGCCACAGCACCTGAGCCGCTCATGCCACTGTAAGCAGGACATTCTGATGCCCGCAGCCAAGGACAATCCTGATGGCCACAGTGCTCTCAACTCACTCTTATCGTAGACTGGCTCGGAAAGCACAGGGTCCATGTGGCACATCTGTCCCTGCTGGTCCCGATATGAGGCCTGGAAGCAGATCCTCACCACATTCATGTCTACTTCCTGATGATTCTTCAGGGACCCAGCTGTGGGGGGAGATACAGGGAGGCTGAGGGTAGGAGGTGGAGACCCTCTTTGGGGCACAGGGGAATGGGGAAGGGATGGGGCTGGAGGAGATGGTGGGGCCTGGAGTGAGCACAGAAGGCAAGGGGTTTGGGAGGACGGGATGGTCAGGTCAGGCAGAGGGGTCTCACCATTGTAGGGGTCAATGCCCAGCTGAATCTTCCGTTCAATGGCAGCCTCAATTTCCTTCTTCCTCACACACTGAATGCCCAGGTTGTTGAAACTGAGGGGTGATGGGGGAGGGAGAGGAGTGCTAAGCAGGCAGGTGTGGCCCTAACCTGCAGGAGGGCTCCGGCAGACGCTGCTGTGGGGCTCAGGCTCTCAGGGGCTGACATCGCAGGCCTAGGGTCCCAGCATTAGAAAGGATCTGGGGTTTAAACCTCTCAGAATGCCGGCGCGGTGGCTCACACCTGTAATTCCAGCACTTTGGGAGGCCGAGGCAGGCAGACCACTTGAGGTCAGCAATTCGAGACCAGCCTGGCCAACATGGTGAAACTCTGTCTCTACTAAAATTACAAAAGCTAGCTGGCGCCTGTAATCCCAGCTACTCAGGAGGCCAAGGCAGGAGAATTGCTTGAACCTGGGAGGCAGAGGTTGCAGTGAGCCGAGATCGTGCCACTGCGCTCCACCTTGGGCAACAAAAGCAAAACTCTGTCTCAAAAAAAAAAAAAAAAAAAAAAAGATAAATTGTAAAGTAAGAGAAAGGGCCAGCCTTGCAGCTAAGTCAGGTCTGGAGTCAAATCCCAGCTCTGCCATCAATTATCTGTGCTCCTTAGCCTCTCTGTGCCTCAGTTTCTTCCTCTACAAAATTGAAATAAGCAGAATGTATGTGAACACCTGTGTGTCAGGGCTCCAGGCCCAGGTGAGACCGTCCACTGTCCCCAGGCCTGAGTTTCCCCACCTAGGAGAGGCAGTGGGGAGGGTTTACCTAAGCTGCCCTCTGCAGCTAAGGTTTCCCTGGGTGATCTCCAGCTGCTCAGAATCTCTACAATCAAGGATGAGAGGTCAGGGGTCAGAATCTCCATGATCAAGGATGAGAGGTCAGAGGTCAGAATCTCCATGATCAAGGATGAGAGGTCAGAGGTCAGAATTTCCGTGATCAAGGATGAGAGGTCAGAGGTCAGAATCTCCATGATCAAGGATGAGAGGTCGGGGGTCAGAATCTCCCCGAAAGGATGAGAGGTCGGGGGTCAGAATCTCC